TAAGAATGAAATAAAAAATTACGTTACATGAGGATAAATCGTGAGAATGCAATGCTTTTTGATGACCACTCTGCATACAAAACAATGAACCTAGTAAAAGATAAGTTAAGACAAGAATGTGGCTAAACAAAAGTAACAAGAAAGTGGTGGTTGACTGGGAAATTGAAAAAAAGTCACGATAACTGGCAGGCAGAGAGAAAAAGAAGTACTCACTTAGAAGTAAGACGCCAGGTCATATTGGGGAAAAAGAATAGTCGAATGATGCAGCAGGGCCGACGCCCGCGCATGCAATCGACCAAATAAAAGATGTATTACTAACTTTCTCAATGTAGAACTTAAAATAAATGTCATGTCCCGCTATTGCTACGAATTTTCTTCCAACCGTAATGTAACTTCAAAATAGAACTTGATACCTGTGGCTCCTTTCCAGAACGCTCTCGGACCTTCTTCCTTGTAAATTTTCTTTGCACAATCTAGCACTCCACTGTACGTTGTTTGACCTCGTCTAGCCACAACCTAAAAATCAAATTAATATTACAATCTTTTTTCTTCTCTCTTTCTTTCAAGAATAAAAGAGCAAGAAATGTTTAATATAGAAAATATACTTGTAATCTGGTCTTTATCACATCTGCAGGAGTGACCAGCGCTGCTGCAGGAACACCAGCAATCGCACCAGATACTAGTAGCGACAGAGGAGTATTGTAACCTCCTTCATCGGCTAATCGCGCCTTTGTATGGGCGTACGTCGGGAAGTAAATTGCGCTAAAGGGGATATCCCTTAAGAAACAAGCTTTTGCACCCTGAAATATTAAGAGTTTCTCCAATTCTCTCATCATATCAAATATTCGCTCCAATTGAATTATACTTATCGTATACCCACTTTATACAAGCCGAAGAGGCCTAACTCTTTGACGACAGTCCAAGCTCTAACTTTGGTTCCTCCTGCTATCTCACCAGCCACCTGCAACCGGATCTTGACAATTTCCAAAGGATTCGTAAATATTACTTGAGATCCTCCAGCCTAGAGAACAAACAAAAATTCTTGATAAATTAGAATCACGGGGATTTATAGTCTACCATAGGAGTGAAAGGTCAAGGAATGTTCATGGATCACTTACACAGGCCCCGGCTATAATTTCCCCGAAAAGGGGCAAATTGCTGTTTTTATCCATGAACTTATCTCTGACGAAATCGTTGACGGTCAACTTGATGGCCTTTTCTGGCGCTACGCCCATTAGCTGTGGTACCAAACCTCGATAAAGGCCGAAGAAGCCCTCGTGCCGGATCACCTGTCAAACGCAGGATACCAACTTCATAATTAACAATGTAGGCAGTGTATCGTGGCGAGACTTTTCGATTCCAACCTTTTGCAGGCAGTCAAAGCTGTTTCGGTACATCAGCTCCCCAACCAATGAACCGGTCCTCTGGTTCTGCATCCTCGTCTTCACCAAATCGATGGGGTAGACGGCTGTAGCGCCGACAGCTAAAGAAAATATTCTTCATCTAGTCTTTTTTACTTGCAATATTACCATTGTTTAATTCCACTCCTGATAGAGTTGACGTTCCAAGTTTAAAAAAGCAATTTCCCAAATACTTCGTATTCGTTAGCAAAATATTAGGAGAACTAGTAAATCTGGTATCCGAAAAACCTCCGTGGCTGCAAGAAAAGTAACAAATGGTGGGAACTGGCGGACTTACCTCCTCCTATGGATCCCAAAACAAAGCGGTATCCGCTCTCGAGTATCTGCACTACCACGCCGCGGTCTTCAGGACTCTGAAACAAGAATACTGACTATTCAACAACGGAACTAACGTGATTTCGGTAACATAGATTGTCTTCAACGGTAATTCTGGTGTCAGCTGATTGGCTTGAGTATTCTTCTGTCACCACACTTACCGACACCGCTTTGATCTCAGCTAAGCGTTTCGTGATCTGCTTGAAATACTGCTCAGGAGTAATAGCCACGAGATCACTGTACATTATTTTCCTGAAATTCGAGAAAATGCGTGCTCAATATGTAGATCCGTAACCATGGCGAAGATAAAGCAGTTTAAGAAAACAAAAAATTGGGGGAAAGGAAGAAAGAGATCGTTTCCAATTTAAAGATTAAAAAAAGAAAAGAAATATAAAAGAACAAGGTATTTCTAGGATGGTCGTTATAGTAAGGACGTCGATGGCACTGCTTCGAGCGATACTAAAAATGCAGATCCTGTCAATACAAGAGAGTTCCTTAAACATATCCTTAAGTCTGTCATAGCATCGGATAAAATGGAATATCGTTAGTGCCCACGATGTGCAAACGTTTACAAATACCATCGTCCTAAGATAAATGCTAAAGAAAGTAGGTGAAGACAATGTGTATATTATCGATTTATGTACATACAAATACATTGGCAAAAGAAATGGGAATTGTCACTCTAAGAAACAGCAAACCTGGAATTTAGAAAAGAACGTGCATTAGAAATTTAGCTAAAAATGGTGGAAATCTTCAACTAATTTTTCTAAATTCATTGTTTCCGTATCATAGAGGAATTCCCGTTACTTTCGCGCGAGGCCAGCGTTTATGCGTTAGAACGAATTTATAGCACGTGATTATTCTTGTAATACAAAGACGCACCCAAGCCGCGAATCTGCCTCGTCATCTTCCGTAGATCTGATCCAGGCAGCGTAAACACGTAAACAAATGTATTCAATCATGGGAACTTTAATTGGCGTTCACAAAAGATCGGAAATTATTATGTGGAAAGCTTTTAGTTTCTTATTTGGTAGGCATAGAAGGCGGTTTTTAGAAATGATTGTTTCAGCAGGGATAATCTCCATCCTTCCTTTGCCAAGAGACACTCGACATTTTTTGGATGATGACGATGTTTGCTTGCTGGTGCAACGATAGCATCTTAATTCTATAATGATTCACATATTGCTTCTCGTTGACCAGGCCAGCGTGGGAAAATCGTAATCGCACGTTTTACTCGTTCCATGTGACCTTTCTGTGATCTATCGATGCCAAGGAGGATGGCTCGCTCTCAGGATTGGAGATACTCACCCAGTTTGATGTAGCAGGTCGCATAGTTGAAAAAGAATATCCACCTCCAGTGGCGTGATCTGCGACATCATTTGTGCGGAATAAAGGAACCTCTCTGAAACAATTGAACATTTTGTTACATTCCTTTTGTTTTCACATACTTACTAGGGATAAGAAGTAAATACCTTTAGTAACTTCTTCGAATCTATGGCCGTTCGTCGCGTTGAGGTAAATACGTTTAATGAGTTCCATATTGTGCAAGAGGGAATTGAACGCCATGAAATATGGGAAGCTGACTTTCCGTCCGCCCTGCCCGGTGCTGGCCGCCTATAATTATCGTAAATCAATTAACCAATCCTTTATACATCGATAAAGGAACACTCTAGATCGATTACTCACGGCAACTAAGTTATCCCTCACATCCTTAGTCAGCAAATGACTTTTGATACTCAGCATGATATCCTGAAAGTCTAGCGCTGAAATAAAACCCTGACCATCCTTGTCGAATTTCTTGAATGCCTCCACCGCGTATTCTTCATGAAAATCCTAAAAATAGAATATCTTAACGCTTCAGAAACTGAAAGTTTCCCTATCAAGAACTTACGTGCAAGAATTGACTGAACTCCGCGTAGCTGATCAGTCGCTGCTTATCCTTTCCGAAATAAAGTTTAATGAAACTGCTGTCCATGTTGAAAGGCATCCGCCGATGGAGTTCAGTTTTCTTCATCACCTCAGCGAACTCATCTGCAGAGCAAACACAAGTTAGAAACTCGTTGTTAATTAATCGAGAATTTACAGGCAGATTCTACGTACCAAATGTAACCATTCCATTTCCATTAGTATCGAACAGCTGAAAGGCTGTCTTGTACAGGGCATCTGGCACACAAAGAAGCCCTTCGAACGCTTGGAATTCAGCAAACGATATGAGCCTGTAGAAAAAGATACATTTTTATGTCTAGCATTTCATTTAGGAAATATCTTATAGAATTTAATTTCTCATGAACATAGAAAAGGATAAAAAGATTTAATACAAACCCATCTTTACTGGTATCGACGATACCAGCGAGCAGATTGACGGAGTCAGGGTTGTAATCTGGATTGGTATAGAGTCCAAGGTAACTCCGGACAAAGTCAGACGGGGTCATGAACCACTCGCCATTCTTCTCTTGTGAAGCGTACTACAATTTTCGTTTATTTTTTATTTTCATTCATTGTATGTAATCATTGTGCATAATGATGATATAATCGCTAAACCTTAATTATTATAAGAGAACCAATTAAAATTCGGTCGTTTACCTGACTAAATATTTCATGGAGGCGTTCAGTATTTGCACGCTTTAAATATCCGGAACCCTAGAAATTACATATAAGATTAATAATCTTTCGAAAGAGGGAAATAATTTGAGAGAAAAAATTGCCTTAAGATTAACTAACGATAGAATTGAAGTGTTCCACGAGTGACGTCGACTATCGACATTATCAATTCGAAGGTAGGAAGAACGACAGTAAAGATCGAGACATTACGTCAGAAGTTCAGAATTCAGCAATAACCACTGGTTATTACAAACTTTACGAGCTTGATTATGCACTACACGCTAGCACGCTAACGCATTAACAAACAACATAATGCCACTATCTCAAAGTGAAGGCAAATAACATCTATGAACCATGGGTTATCAGCGACAGAATTTACCGTCACATAATACAAAAAGCATTTGTATTCAGTTGCACAATTACGTAAATCGCGGATAGTATACATATATAATAATGAATCAAAAACACAGAATGTACCGCGATTTGTGAAATTCCATATATAAAACCAAGAAGAACCAGTAGCGCTACCATAGCGTAACAAAATATAAACACAGCTGGTTCCATTAATAATATGACTAACGTTACATTAATGTACGTTTGACATTACAACAGCCATTGAGTAGTATAGTTCAAAGTTCAAAGGTGAGACTGAGCTTAAAAATGCCAGTCTAAAAAGGGATCAAGATGTCGGTTGCCTCTGTCATTTAATAATTCCATCGAGTACCACATGATGTGGTACTTACGCCATCGTAAGTAAACGGTTGTTAGCCATCCTAAGTAAATAAGTAAGTAAACGGTGGCGGAGAATCCGAAAAACGAAAAAGGAAAGCACAAAGTGTGTAAAGCGAACTTCCGAGAGCGAATGATGGACTGAACAGGAAATTAAATTTACACAGATTTCTGCATTTGCATACTCTACCGAATAACAACCTTGAAACAGAAACTACACGTGCTCGTACATCCAATTATCAGAAAGTTCCGCTAGTAATTGCGATACTCGCTTTTCTATCAAATAACTAACCTACATACCGTAACTTCCATTTATGAAAGTTCGAAAGAAAACAACAAACATGATACAACTAGAGAAAATCACGCTAAGACGATCAAACCTTTCTGACATTAATGTATGCAAAGGCGTGTCACGTACTAGTCGCGTGAGTAGCAGCCTGCCCCTATTATATTCGCTTTTTCACGGTCGCGCCACGTTCGAGAACTTGACGCAGAAAATAATGCAATGATACGACCCAGTCAGCCAGTGCGCCAGCGTTGCGAAGACAACTCTGTCCTTCTATCAAGGGAATATGAATGGTTTCCAAAAATAATCCACCCATCCGTCAAATACAATATTTCGCAGATTATTTACTCGGTGAACGTTCTTGGTCAATTTTGCAAAACAGATAACACAGAGGTCGAAAGGTCGCACGTTCATCGTGTATGAGGAAGATAATATATGATACGATACGTGTCCATTGTGATCTATAAGGTAACAGAAGACGAAGACAAGAAAAGCTGAAGGATCTGGCGTCTCTTTCGACACTTGCACGTGAACATAGAGCACCAGAGAAGACACACCTGCATTCCCCACATTATATATCTCTGGGTTCTTCTTTCTTTGATTCCGTAAGTAAAAAGGGTCCGATAAAAGTGGGACAGCCGCGTACAATATCTTTTCACGGCAACGACGTTAACTGTTCTTTGAGATCAGCATGCTGACGTTGAAAATGGCACAAAAAATGATCAGCAGGTCTTCTGAGGTGCTTCTGAGAAACATATGTGCGTTGCGATGAAAGGATGGCAATGATTGAAAAGTGCGTGCTTCGCGCTCGGAAGTCACGATGAGACTGATTCAGCCTTGCTGTACGAAAAGAGAACGTTGCTACGACTCCCTCCACCGTGGCTATCTCAAAGACCATTGCCTTTTTCTTCTGGTTTCAGCGATAGCGTGTTACCTCTTCGCCTCTCCTAACTTCTTCGGCAAATAACATTCTTAAAGGATCCTAGAAATCCGTGTAAATTGTACAATTGTTTACAGACTCAGATATCGAATCGTGAGATATTTTTAACCGAATGATTTCCTACTTGTTCAGATACCGTGGAGACGTTTTCGACGTTGAAGATGATCGCAAGTGGGTCGAAGCCATTACTGGCATCTTAACTTACATGGAAGCTTCCTGGTTTTTTTTATACTGTCTACATGTCCTCAATCTCATTTCAATTCTTTTTTGCTTCCTCCAACTGCACATGTCCATTTCTCATCTCTTCTTCTCGCGCTTTTTTTTTATTTTCTCTTCGTGTAGTCCTGATGTTTCAGCAAGAATTCCCGTTTCTTCCGCTCCTAATTTCTCTGCTATCTTTTTTTCTCGCAATTTCCTTTGTTTCTTTGAATAGAAAGCAGATCTGTTAAACGCCACTAGCGATCTCGATCATTGTCAAGAGCAGGTATTTTTGTGTACTCACGAGCGCGTGCCTTGGCTAACCAGCGGATCAGTTGCTTCCATTTTGCAACGCCACGTGTTACATAATCCCGTAAACTGGTTCCCAATGCAGATGCACGTGTCGTTTATCGACGTACGTTAATGAAACCATTAATCAACTAATTTTTCACACTTTTACAACGTATATCAGATACCTAATGCAAACGCCAAATGAACATCTGAATAATATATACAGCACGTAGCTTATAATTGATAATAATTGCTAATAATTTAAATTGTACATCGATACGAGCTAATTTTATTCTTGAAGACTCTATGAGGTACCTTTATATCGATAACTTCCTTGTATACGAAACAAACTCTAATTCTTTTTCCTGATATTATACATATATATATGTACCATTTACGTGGCTTGATCAACGTATTGACGTTGGGAGACCTGAATCGATGTCTTGCGTTTTTCAAGCACTACCATCGGCAAACCGGAAACGATATTTTTCATTTTTTCAAGCGTTGGCGTATTTTTCATTCGCATATTTACCTTGCAAAATTGTGCGGAAGGTGAAACTACACGCACGCGACACGTACACCTACGTCAAAGTATTAAAAGGTGAATCAGAGGCAAGCTTCTTCCGCAAAAGATCTGTGTAATCAATAGATAATAGAAGAGTGACGCCCATGGAGTATTTCCTGCCATGTTTCAACACGTGATTTACAACGATCTGTATAGATACATTCATCGTCGCTGAGTATGTGTTCGTTTCAAGGAAAATATAAGTTTCCCCGGTGGAACTGAGATTCTATCACTGCACAGAACTCTGATTAGAGCCATGGTCGAGTTTAATGGGAATCGTTTTACTTCCGCTGGCTTGCGACATGATTCAAAATGGCGCGATTTATTGCCATCGTGCGTTCTACGGTCTGCAGTCGAGCCTAAAATACGCAAACAGTTAACTAAAAATAGCAGTAATTGAAAAGAATGATCGAAAAGAATGCTGACAACGTTCTAAGAAAGTTAATTTCTTATTCTATGACGTGGAAAATTTGTTATAATTAGGACCAAGGCCACTCGACCGTTATGCTAGCCCTACATATATTACAGTGAATCGTGACTAACATACATCGCATCATCTTTTCCAACTTCCTTATACCAATAGCGAACGTTAAATTTGACTGACAATTATTCCCGTGAACTGAACATTCCGAAGAATTTAAATTTGTAATGTCAAGGCCTGGCATTTCCACTCCGTGTTGAAGTCAGGGTCACTCGGATGCGTTAACAGTACCAAGAAAACTGTATTATCTGATTGCGCGTATCGCAATACACGTAACACCGAATCGCTTAAATACTCTTCTCGTTATCGGTTACATCAGGCGGTTGAAGCTTCCTCTTTGTTCCCTTTTTCAGATATGAAAGCGAACGGTGGGTACGTTTGATCGTAGCAGTCTAGACGGCTTCCAATACTAATTCCAGTAATTCCTCTTCACGGGCCATCCTCGTTTCCCGTGTAATCGGTCAGATCTCTCAGAACGGTCGAAAAGGTCTTGAGAAAAAAGGAAAAGAAGCAACAGGTGTGCCTCGAGACGGTAAGAGCGGGTACAAAAGCGACGACAGATAATCCGATGCGAATGTGTACGAGTCAAAGATCTCGTATTGGATCGGAATAGGCACGTACATATATACCTAACTTGGAAGGCATCTAATGCGGTTAAGGAATTTCAGTCTGCTGTCGGGAGCCACCGATGGATTGGACTGCGGATAATCTCGACAAAAACAAGATTACACATTTACGTAATGAACTAACTTGAACAATTGATATTACACCGTCATTCTTGGCAATTATCTAGCTGGCTATCTTGTAATTTTAGTTACGCCGATCGTTAGTGCCTTTTCAAAATAATCTACTACCTCTCCTCTAACAATATTTTAACGACGTTTCTTCTTTTCCTTGGAAAACAAGCTTTTATACTAGCCCTGGTAATTTTGTTCTCACGAGAAACGAAGACCAATTGACTTGGAATTTGTTTACACTACTTTCCACGTGTCTTGATGATCCTAATCTTTTTAAAGAATATTATTTCCTTCGGAAAATAAAATCGTAGACTTCAATGTCTCGTTTCATAATGTTCTGTAAATGATGCTTCTAATATCGACTATATTTTAATTTTTAATAAATCCTACTTTATGCGAGACTCACTTCCCTAGACTTAGATTCAAAGTATTCTTTTAATATCGTTCAAAGAAGCCTATTCTCTTTTTAGAAACTCGGGACATATTTTAATGTCTCTAGATTTTCTATGATCGATAACAACCACGTTATCAACTCTATATCAGATATCGGATATCGAAGAGGAAGATCGCCTCTGACAATTCTTTCCTGCCGTAGGATTCAATTAGCACCAAAGCAGATACTTATTAGCAGAATAGTTCCAACATACAGCACGTATCGTGTAACAAAACTCGCATTCAACCATCAACCGCATTCCAATCAAATTACTTCACTGTTTCTCGAGCCTCGCTAACACTTGCTCGAAAAAATCACTATTTCCACGTCTCTTCTCCGTTTCCCTGTATCGCCCCAGATATCTAGACTAAACAACAAATCACGATTTACAATTCACAGTCACGGCGATCCGTTTTTCGCAGAATTTGTACAATTAGAAAAATCATGGTGCACCATTAATAAACAGCGACTTGGAGATTAGGAATTTCAGTGTAAAAGTGGTTTAAAATGATCCCAGCTAACCTCTTCGTAAACGCCGTTGTTCTTCTCATACATTCTCCCTTCCTCATCCAATTTTCTAGTTCAACGAGTAAGAGTCCGACACCTGAGAATTCAATCAGTCGCTTATTTTTATTAAGTGCACATAAACGCGATAAAAAAAGAACGATACGTCTTTTGGTCCCGAATCACATGACGACGATATATATAAGTGGATCGTGTCGCCTCCAGAGAGAAGTTACCTCGAGAACGATCCAGGCGTGACTGGCGGTGAGCCCACGGCCGACCTAGCGAGTTTCACAACGCAACTGGTGCAGGTTCACGCTGGGAGGTGGACACGAGGTCCCCGACCCTCTTACGGGGAAAACTGTTACAGGAAGGCCCAGATTATATCGCACAGTTTTGTATAGTGAACTTATTTTCCAGCTGATCTCCAACAGACGGCTGCATCCTTTTTCTTATCCTTTTTAGACATATATCAATTTTCCTTCTTACTTCATACCAATAATCTTCTCTTTTTCTGCGAATAAATTTAATAAACTTCTATGAATTCTTAATAAATTTTTTTTTTTTAAGTATTTAATAGACTGCTTTTGATAATTATTAATGAAAATGAGGAAATGTTAATAAAACAAGCATCCTTTTTCTTATAATTTTTTGATATCTATATGCGTATGTATTTTACTTTTTAATCCATATCAACCTTCTTCTTTTTCTTCTGCGAATAAATTTAAACTTAGAGAAATTAGAAAATCAATAATTGATAGGAGATCGATTGAAAGATGAAGGTGACTAAAAGGACTGCAAACGTGTCGAAGGAAACTGCGGCAAAATCGGATTCCTGGCATGGTCGACCTGATTCTGCGACTGAGTCCAACGTGTCCGAAGTCAGGGAATGCAAAATCTCGCGGTTAACCTGGATTTATCTGCGCATCCAAGCCAAACTAGGATCCTGGACTTACCCAGATCTAGTCAAAGAAACGATCAACATGAGAAACCGGTTGAAATTAATCCAGAACAGTACGCTTGCGTGTCTTAAAAAAAGTGATGATTCCTGATTACATGATGCTGATGCAACGATTCTATCATATTTCCAGTCGATTCTCTGCGCAACTGACTTAAATCTTGAGCACGAAAATTATAAGCCTTCTTGATAACATACTATGCTCTCGTGAAACATGTATCTCCTCTTAAAAGTTCTGAAAAGTTCACGTAATTTAATATATTAATACACCTTCAAATAAAATATTACTTGCTAATTTCAAACTAAATTTTCTATATTTCAAATTACATTTCCAAAACTATAAATTTTTCAAATATCTACATTACAAAATTACATTACCAACGTCATCAATTTTGAAAGAATCTACATTACAAATCTACGTTTCAGGAAATTATCAGTTTTAAAATATTTGTGAAAGTTAACTCGAAAGAAGATTCTATTCTATAAATATTGTCAAACCAAAGCATGTCAACAACGTGATCAAACAAATTAGCTGTAGACAAAGCGCATCGTAGGTCTAGAGGAAACGTACCTCTATCGATTTTAAAAAATAAAAAAAAAAAATGGGAACTATCTGACTATAGGACTGAAAAGGTAACGCGAGTTCGTCGGTAGATCGAACGAATTCATGGTAGAATAATGCCGTGGCTGGGATAATAATACCCATATCCAGGCCTCGCGTTATGCGAAAGGAATTGGGTCAATGCGAAGGGAACAACGTTGAACTCAGGATGAATCTCGCAACCGTGAGAGAAACGCATACCATTTTACTAGAAAACTGTACGTTTTGAAAAAAAATTCCACGGCGTTTTCAGGTCAACGACGAGCCTTTTTAACGAGACAGCGGTATATGATTCATTGTGTATAAACGATTCCTGCTTCCCTTGTTCCACTTTTATCTTCAATTTTCCTTTTCTTCTTCCTTCTCGTATCGTTTCAAACTTAACGTTATAGATACTGTAGTTATCTTATTTTCTTCTAACGCTCTTAACGAGAGTGGATATTAAATACAGATTCAGTTAGTCGCTATAGATGACTATACTGTAGGACAACAGTAGAAATTGGTGAATGTAGAGGGTGAAATTACGGCAGAAATCGAAGATCAGGAGGCCTCCTTTAGGCACGTATCCAGCGTATAAAAGTAATAATATATGTAGACTGTATCTTGCGCTAGGAGATAGCAAGAACGCGTATTTATACTGTCCTGAATAAATAAATCTCACGTCCTATATTATTTGTAATATATATCGTTGGCCAAAACTACCATTCCAATAAAAAAAATACAAATATCGCGATCTTCTCTTTGCTTCTAAATTTCAGATCGTCGATCGGATTCAACGTTGAACCGATTCGGCAATTACTGCTACCGTTCCACGCCGATTAATTACTAAAACAGATTTACAAAATTGAAGATTTTCTTATCTAATTAATTGAGGAAAAGAAAAGATAAGGAGAACTAGACGAGATCATGGTTTTTACGCAATGTTGTTCACGCAAAATACGATGGTTCGAAATTAGCACGGCCTGAAAATCTCGAGTCGCAGTATTTTCGGTCTACGAACCGCTGCACTAAAATCTACGAGCTTTCGCAAACCACCAAAGGCTATTGACTCCACAACTCCATTATCAGACCAAAAAAAAACGTTCCACTCAGTTATGAGAGTTCCAATCAACGTCTGAAACTACCTTTAACTTTATATTAATTAGAAAATCATTTCATCAACTAACTACTGTTAATATTAAACTGCGAATTATCAGGAAACTTATTTCAGTATTTTCTTACCTATAACGCTACACTACCATCCTAATTTCAAAGTTGCAAAAACCTAAAACGCTGCTTATCTATTCGTTAATTGTGCTACAATAATTCTTATCAGTATATTAAACCTCGTTATATAATTACCTGCTAAATCGATTATCAGCCGACAGCTCAATGATTATTTATCAAGTTATGTCAAAGCGAAATCACAAGTCGATACGAAATATTGTACGTATTACGATATGATCGAGTGGCGATCGGATGTTGTATTTTATCTTGAGAAAAATCATGACTTGCGCAGAGAACAGTTACGGCAATGCGGTGTATTCTTCGCGACAGATCCTCCTGGAACCGATAATAAAATTGATTCACTAGTTCGCAATCACTCGTCTACTGTGCAAATTACATACGTGGCAAATGAATTAAGATAAATAGACGATTTCAGTTGATTACCTCGAATGTTTATCGCCAATGTTGACGCGACCTTGAAGTAATCGTAATTGTCGTGTGCGTGACGTTTCTGATGTTTACCAACCTTTATCAAGCCCGAAGAAAACTATCGATGCATCGATAAGCACGTTTTACGTCTTCCAAAATAATATTTTATATTCGGTGACAAATTGGTCGAGAGAAGATTAAGAAGGAAGCAGCCGACAGATGTTACAAAGAACATAACCTAAATTCGAAGATGGTATCCCACTGGGAATAGCCATCTACATGTTACCTACCGATTAAGTTAGAAAAATTTACCAAATGTCCAGCTGGACAAATTGTAAAGTATAAATTAAATAATAAATAATAAAAAAAAAAAATTGCTCGAGTAACGACTGCTTTTAGATAGAAAAACGGCGACGACGAAGGTCAGGGAATCAGGATTTAAATCGCTTGCGAAATAATGCGACTTTAGCCTTCTCTGGCCGACTTTTTAGAGATTCAAGCTTAAAGTTCCTGTACTGGCTGCAGGGAGTAAACCTATGCTTCTTTTGTAATCAACTTCTTTCGCTATTGATGATCCTAAAAAAGAAAAGTAACCGGCGAATAAATGAAATTCACCAAAATGGAGAAAATCTGAGAAATCGATAAAAAACGCATATTGCTCTAGTAACTAGATTATTACATGTTAAAGTATCTCGTTGTGTTTCAGCTTGTTTTTCCACGATAAAAGTAGACAATAAACACGGGTGTTGTGAAATCCGGGACACGATAAAAAAGCCTCGCTGAGAACTCGATAAACGAACCGGTCAACGCACGCAGTTTCCAAATACTAAATAATAGACAGTGTTACTCAAGAACGAGCGATTAGGAAGTACCGCAACAAAGAAAAGAAAAACAGGCTGTATACTGCGATAATATTCGTTGAACGTCATATTACGCTAAGAAATGTGTCTTTTTCTACCAATATTATCGTTACTGTTATTGTTAAAATTTATGCAAGTACGATAGATTATTAATTGTTTATCACGTGTATAGTCCGAAATTTATTATAAAATATTTATAAAAAATGTATTAATTAATTTTATAATAAATACGAATTATAATAAATTTATAATAAAATTTATAAAATTTATAATAAATAATTTTATGATAAATAAAATATTTATTATAAAATATTTATTTTTTATTCTCTCTGTTAATCTGCAATTAATTTGCTTCCTGTATCTTAACAACAAACGCTGCTAACACAATCTGAAAATTCAGTTCGTTAGATCGTTAAAGTGATACCGGTTTCTACTGGTTTTCAACGCACTTTAACGTCACCAATGGTATTCATTGGAACGAAGAAAAGAATAAGATGAAAATATGATGAACGATGAACTGTTTCTATGAATAAAATATCTGTGTTTTATTGTAAGAGGAATTAAATACGTAATACAGCGCTTTTTTCATTTGAAAAATTGCGACAATTTGTTTCGATACTTCGATAATGCGATAAGGACATTCAAATTCATAAGAACACTATTACGTGAATTTCTGTATTCAGTCCGCTCGTCCTTACTGCGTACACTCAATAGCCTTAATGCCCCAGCGTAAATCTAAGGAATTTGCTAGCTAAGGTCCTTCAGACCCAACAAATATCGTTTTTCTAAATTATTTTCTAAAGACTACTATCTACTACGGCTTGACAAGGGAAAGTTAATTTTGTTCACGACCGATGCTTCCTACTGGCAACTTTCTATCGAGGACGGTTAAGACCCTTCCTAGTCCATCAACCTTCGTTTATCCAATCAGAAACAATGTATACTGCCCCCACTTTTCTGACCAAAAATGTCATAAACAACTCCGATGATCCCTTGCGCTAGACAGACCCATGGCTAGTTTTCCTCCGACACAGCATCGGCACTGTATACTTTAATTCTTCTACACCGCTAGAAAAGTCTAACTCGCATTCATCTATCT